TGTGCGCAGCAGCTGGAGCTCAGGAAGCTGCTGATATTATCCCTAATATACGGAAGGGAATCACGGCTCCGTCCCACATCCATTCAATGCGGCAGAGAGGGCCGTAAATTAATTTCTGTGGCTCTCTGATCCGAGGCCAGTTTAGCAAGGCTTTTCTGCTGGCATATGAAAATAAACCGTTGACAGTGCTCAGAGGTGCCGTTTTGCTCTTGGGATCCCCCGCCTCCCCCCGCCCCAAAGCTGGGAATCCTTTGCCTCGCTTATAAATACACCGTTCAGTGAAATAACGGCCCGACAGCAAACAAATAATAACGCAGCCAACAGTAAAAAAGACTAAGAGAAGGCGATGAGGCTAAGAATTTTAGTAGATGGGCAGGAAATAAGAATAGATAATGATGAGAAGGGCAATTTCTCTATCTCCTTTGCCACAGAAGTCAAATCATCAGTTTGGCAGTCATGTTCCCTGGGGGAAAAGGAGGTAAAAGAGCAAATACATTAGGGCCGACAGATGACAATAAAGTTAGAAGATGCCAAAACCGTGCAAGAATCGCACCAAGTGCGTGAAAGCGGCACGAGACGTGCAGGAGGGTTACGTGGCCCGTCCAAAGTCGCGCTGGCCGGTCAGCACGGATGTCGAGAGCTCTCGGCAGAGCGCCGGACCTGCCCTGCTGCCCACACAGCCCAAGTGCAGGCTAGAAAAATTGGGCTAGGAAAATTTTGCTAGAAAAAATTCTGCTTTTCAAAACACAGGAGCGGGAACAGTTAGGCACTACATACTTCAAGCACTTACTAAGTCTTTCTACAAAAGTTTTTTATTCTGCTAATTCTGTATAATAAAACTTCAATGCTCACATAACTTCCGTGCAGGGAGTAATTACTGCACATACTTTTGCATGGGCAACTTCACGTCCTGCCTGTATTCAGCTTTACACTGTAACATGGTTCCTACTCATCTTTGGTTTTGCGTGCTACTGGGTGTGAAGATTTTAAATAAGCCAGTCTGGATGGTACCTCTCGCAGAGTGTGACTCAAGTCGAGCCTGGTTTCTCAGGTGAAGAAAGGGCCTGCGCAGGCAGGGGGACAAAAGGGACAGCTTACTGCAGCGAAACGGGATACAGAGGTCAGCAGTGACAGGATCTGCTTGTTCGGGTACCACCTGCAAAGAGACGTATTCTAACGGCTGAACCTTGGCCCCCCTTTTATGGGGCATTTCTGAAGAAGGCTGTATTCACTAGAAGAGTGCTAACGATTGCCAACTGTGGAAAACTAAATGTTTCAGCTTTGCTCTAAATGCGTTCTCGCTCCAGTCCCCTGAGGTTAAGTGGAGTTTTGGCAAATTAAGGATAAGAGGATTTGCAAGGTGACAAAGGGATTTCCTTGCAGGACTGGTCACCTCCCGCTCTTCTTCTCCCAACCAAGTATGTGACAAAGAACTTGTGGGCCTTTAACTGATGTCTGTCGTACATTAGGATCCTTGATGCATGAAAGCTGACCACGTTCCTTGCCTCTCCTGCTTCTTTCGAAGCTCTCTCTCCTCAAAATCTGCTGAAATCAATGAAGATTCCCTTGACCTCCAATGGATTTGGATCAGACTGAACTGCAAGAGTAAGGCAAGAAGGCTCTGCACTTCAGCACAGTCACTGTTTGCTCTGTATGACGAAAGAATGTATGAAACCACAGGAGAGCGAGATGTACGGCAGGTCCTACAGCAAAACCAGACCTGATAATAGTGATTACTTCAATGATCACAAGGATTAAGAGGGGGGAAAAAACACGGCTGATTTAAAGCTAAAAAATCAACACCTCCCAAGTCTCCAGGACTTATAACGTTGCGAATATACTGATAAACACCACAAGGCTTTTCCTTTTTTGTTTAAATCTTCTGCAACTCAGTTTTAACACTGATGTCAGAATCAGTCTCAGAACTAAGAGACGAAAGAGGTCCAACCAAAAGTAATCTTTGGTAGCGGTCTTGCAAGGTAAGTAAATGATCTCAGTGCTACAACAGATACAGATATCGCCGTTTGAGATTCTAGACCTCGGCTAATTAAAGGAGCAGGGCCATCTTCTCCCACGAGGTAGAAGCTGCACTGAATAGTAAACAGATCCTTTAAACACAAAATTAAGGAGGAGGGATGCAAGGAAAGAGAACGTTATATACAAAAAGGGTCAAATGCACTAGAACAAAATACACGAAAGCCTGCTAAATAATTGCACAGGATAAGCATACCTGCCACTTTTTAAGCAAATGGTTGGGCTTCTAAAAATCATCTGTCTCTGGTAGCGAACTACGAAAAGATTGATAAGTAGAGACAGCAAGATATTGAATAACAGACAATTGATTAATGTTTTATTTTGATGAAAATGACAAAGTAAAAATGTAATCATGGAACAAAGCCCGATTTGATTTTACAATCGATTTCAGAAGCTGTCGCCAGATGCTAAAGAGCACCAGCACTCTCTGCTGGCGATCGCTGTTCAGCAGTTATCTGCAGGAAAAACGAGGAAAGCAAACGCATTACGGTTTTGATGTGGAATGCCATTTTAGTTTTAAATGGATGAATAATTAGATCCCTATCAACTTACCAAACAGCAGCTCTAAGAGTTAGTTATGTTTCTGGAAACAAAACAGTCACTACTAAGAAATGTATTCACTATAGGCTATTAGCATTCACTGGAATAAATTTCACTGTTGCAAGTAAACATCTAGCATTTAATGCTGCTCTCTGCAGAAAGCACTTCTGTTGTGCTATAGCCCAGAGACAAGTTGCTGTGAAAAGTTGCCATGATGCCAAATCTCTTGGCTCCACCCTGACTTTCCATCAGTTTTAGAGCTATGCCAGGAGAAACGGCTCTTCTTACAAATGCCCTAGTATAGCACCAACATCTTCCCCTATGGCAGCAACAGTGGAAACGCTACTCACATTTTAATCAAGGCACTATCCAAACCTGCTCTGAGCCCGGTCGCTGTTACACTCGTTGCCAGAAGGCTGCAAAAGCTTTGACTCCCTCTCCCCCGTGTGCACCCAAACCTTTTCCGCACCCCTGATGTGGACGTACTGCATCCATGCCAGAGACTGCACAGGGACAAAGAGATCAGCCACAAAAAATAAAAATACACCAAAGTACCTAAGTGACAGCTGTCCCAGTTTCCAAACTCTGTACAGATCAGGCACCACTAAAAAGAGTTAAAGACTGGCAAATTGAATCCATGTGCAGCTCGGGAAAGCGTGGGAAACAAAAGAGACAATGCGAGTTAAGGACAGAGTATTCATCAGCCAAGGGCTCGAGTTTCTTCACTTCTGCCAGTCTGCTTCCCCATGGCCATTTTTCAAGGTAGCTTTTTGTTCTTTAGTTGAAAATAGTCATGGAAAGACATTATACTCCAGCTAATGAACTAAGGCTCAATACATGTGGCACTGCTTAAAATAATTTTGTCTCATCTTTTTAATTCTCCGGGAGGCAAGAGGGGAGAACAATGCCAAAGACGAGGCTTTTTTTGCTGGACTACAGCACGCTTCAGATTAGAGCTTTACATGACATCTGATCCAAAAATCTCAAGCACCTTCATAAACATTACTTAAATATGGTATTAAATACTCACATACATAAATCTGACTTCTAAAAAATACATGAGCCTATCAATTGGAGTCAGAATAAAGCCATTACTGGAGAACGGCTGCCGAGCTTTGAGCCACTGTCCCAGCAGAGCTGGGTGAGGCCGAGGCTGGACTTGCCATCCCCGCCCCTCAATGCCTGCCAGGCCCTCAGGAGCTTTTAACGATGATTGCTCCAAAGTACTTCGGATGCTGAAGACATCATGGGGAAGGGCGCAGGGTCTCCAGTTTTTCCACTGGACAGCCACAGTTGACCCCCAGCTCCTGCCGTCGGGTGGACTGTGCAGCCACGGCTGGATTAAATGATGTGGCAGGGTGAACTGTACCAGCCATGGCAGCTGAATCAAATCGTGTGCGAGCGTGAGCAGTACCAGCCAGTGCCACTGAGGGCCCAGTGGTCCCAAAGCCCTTTGGTAGGTCTATGCCCATCTACCATATGTGACTCACTGAGAGTAAGAGTGCCAATCCCCTGGTGCTTGGGGCTGATATTTTGAAAACAGGACATAAACACCACCTTAGGATCTGCTTAATAAGGTCTCTACATATGAGCTGAATTCTTGAAAATCTAGTCTGAAACTCTGCCCTTTGGCTCTTCAAAAAATCTGAATGTATGCAGTCCCGGGCCTCAGAGGGGAACTGATTTGGTGCTCAGTCAAGAAAAAGCAGCATTAGGGTAAAGTTCTAGAAAAAGCAATTAAAATAGCGGGTCAGAAATTGAAATGAGGAGTCTATTTTACTGTTTCAATTGGTTGATGTCCGTATAGTAAACGTAGCAAGGCTTAGCATTTCGCTTTGAGTATTTTACTTCACAAAGTAAAGAATGGAAAGAACAATTCCTGAATTAGGAAAACAGCTTAGGGTCCTATCAAAGGCAAAGGCAGTAGTAGAAATAGGTTGGTTTTAACATAGCTGTAAATCAAAGTCAGAAATAATTTTTCTAATGCATTCAGTTTCTGACAAATACCATCTTCAAAAGTGCTTTCCATCTGCAGAGTACTAAGGAACATTTTAAGCATTCAAGATCACTGCCACTCGGCTGAGCAGGATAGAGAGTGACAGCCGAATGCCAGGCACAGCGCTCTACAACACTGTGCGAGGAACAGATTCGTGCCTAAGGGAGCAGAGCAAATTTCTCATCGAACAAAATATGCAAAGGTTTCAAATCTGAAGTTTTGTACTCTTCAAGAAAATTCATATTCTGAACATGGCAGGACCCAGCAAGAGATCACTGATTTACATGGACCGGGAAGATGCTAAAAACTTTGAGAACTTGAGTAACTGTAGGAAATTAACATGTTGACTCTCATTTTTATTAACTATACATGCGAGACTGCTCTTAAGTACTCTCTTCCCACATTCATACCCACACCTTTACCTTCGTACCGTATGAATTCAGCATTCAGTTCTGTCCCTTGATCATTAATGCAGACTCCTAAGCTTCAGACTTCAAAGAAATGCATGCTTAAGAGGCACAGGACTGGAACAGCGTCAAAGCCTCCCTGTGCAGGAACCTCCATCTTCTGTTTGACTTTGCTGTACAAATATCTAGTTCTATCAAGACTAGGAAATTCAATGATTTATGTAGGGCTTCCCACAGATTAAGTTAATAAGGGAACCCAACGGTGCCTCATCTCCTTCCGCCTTCCAAACACTGGTAAATGAAAGGAAATGGGAATGTCTCCTGGGGTAAGGGAAAGACGTGAGCTCGCTACAAATGCGCAGGGGAAGAAACCAAAGGCTTCATTGTGTGGCTATGCACTTCTCCAGGAATCCTCTTCCCTCCTCCTCCTCCCTCCCGTAAGGGCCATAGGAAAACGTCCTTGGGGATACGTTGCAAAACTTGATGTGACTGCAAAGCCGCATTCGCACCACACTGATTGTCACCTACAACAGTGGCATTTTGGTTTTCTTCCTGTGTCCTTCTACACCTTCTCTTCTTCCATACTGTTCTGTGAGTCATATAACCCATACACTGCTTTTTGTTTTATAGTTTCCCTTCATTTGTCCCTTCCCCCTTTCGTCTGTTCTCATCCTCTCGTTCTGTGGCTCAAAACGCCTGCGCTCCCTGCTTCCTTCTTTCTATAGCTCGCCCTTCTGTCATTTCTAATACATATCTAGTACCACCAGCATTACTCGGGGCTCCAGTCATACCCTGTTATTCAAAGCTCCCAGCACGTAAGACTGAATTAGAGTTTAACATAACATGTTTGGGTTTTACAAAGGAAGAGACTAAGGCGCAGCTACAGCACAACTAGGCTTCTCCTGCACCCCCAGGGATGTAGGGGCTCACTTTAATGTAACTGGGAATCAACATCACTCAGTTAAATCTGAAAAATCCACAGACATCCCCTGATTAAGGGGGCCAAAATTAAGCCTCTTCACGGGACAGCCTGAAAGGCAGCCTGGCCTTTTTCTTCATGTTTATTTGGAGTTGCTTGCATACTGACAACTTTCAAAGAAATTGCCCAACACCAGACAAACACGGGGCAGTTTCTTTAGTGGTGAGAAAGTTGCTATAGATCATCAGATTCAGATATTTTTTTTATCTACAAGATGGTCTACGCTTGCTCCAAGCTAAGTTGGACATTACAGTGGAGTGGCATAAATCTGAGAAGCTGGTCTAGATGCACATACTTCAAAACGCGTTCATTAGCCTTATCATCATAAAATCTTACCTCATAAAATATTGTGCTAAAGTGACAGTATTGGTGGTAGATGGTATTATAGGACAACAATTTACTTACTGAGAAGTTGAGCTACAAAGCTGAATTCAGAAATTTCTCTCCCTAACAAGAACGTTGCAATTAGGTCATCACTGAACACTGCAACCGCAAATCAGAGTAAACACGTTCCCAGAAAATCACTAATATGTGACAGCAGGTATTTGGAACGAGGACAAGGATTTCATCCATGTAGTCCTAGTGGTGAATTACGCAGATAAACAGCAGTCCTGAGATAGTTGGCTTCCACTGGGAACATGCAGGTGTCAGGATATTTAGATCCAGTTTAGCACTAGCAATCCAGAGCCTAAACTCCCAAACGGGAAAGTTCAGGTCCAACTTTGATCAAGTCTGACAAGCTGTTTAAAGCAAGTTTTTGGGTCAGAATTCATTCTATTTAGGTCATGTATGAACTAGATCCAGAACACAAAGGTTTTTTTGTATTTTCTGGATTCCAGTTTGAACAACTTCCCTAATTTCCAGTAACGTTTTCTCTTCTGCTAACAGTGAATTAGTTCCAAGCCCAAACTTTTTAAGTTCAGAGGTAGGTTTCAGTAACCCTCTAAAGTCCAGACCTTTATTCGGAGATAAAGCAAGATAGAAAAAAGGAACTTATTAGGAGAACATTCTCCAGACTCCCTTTTGTCTCCGAAACTCCCCGGTGCTCTTCCTCTCTTGGTTCTGCCCACGTACCTGAAAGTACCTCCTGGGCAGACAGGCCAGGAGAGTGAACAATACCATTCAGAGAGATTAGGATAGGAGGAAGTCTCTGAAGATTGGCTTCTCCTGGATGGCACTTTGGTTTGTGACCAGGGATTTCTTTTAATTAGACTGTACTCTTAATTATTTGTGACCTATATTACCTGTAGAAGCCATCCAAAATCTAAGCATATCAGACTTAACGAGGATAACTGGAACAATAATATTTTTAACTCTTGTGTCAATCCTTTGAGCCTTACTGATGGTAGTACTAGGACAGAACTAGCTGTTTTATCAAAAAGTATCATTAAAAAGTGGAATAAAAATGAACTAAATTTCCGGTTTTGTTTTGCATCGGGGCTGAAACGAAGATCTCTGCTAGGTTAAAACCAATCACTTAGAGGCGACACAGAAAATGTTAACCTGAAAAGCGAAGGGGGAACCTCACGATGGGGGACTCCAGATGAGGGTGCCAAGGGCCAGCGCCTGAGCCTGGATGTCACGAGATGTCAGGACCCTGGGCCGGCAGGGCAGCCCTCTAGGAGCCAGCGCCACCGAAGCGCTGGGCTAACCTACCGTGTGCTGGAGGTTTAATCAGCTCTTGATTATCTACAGCACAAAGCAAAAGCAAAGGCTGGCTAAGGAACCCCAAGTGCCTGCGTCCAGCACGACTGCTCCACCCTAAAGACGTAGCCTTCCGGCGCTCACCTTCTTCGAGAAAACATCCTGGAGCCGAGAGAGCTGGGATTTGTGCTTCAACCGTATGGTACATCTCACAGCGACTCTTTAGGGGCCTAACTGAACCAAAGGCTCGCTCTTTCAGCCCGAGGGCAGACCACGAAGTAGCAGCAGGTCCTGTTAAACCCAGAGCCTCAAGCGGCCGGCGGCAGCCTGACTCCCCAACAGGCGAGGCCCCGAGCCCAAAGCTTTTGGCTCTTTGGGGATGACCGCCGCCGGACCGGCGGGGTGGTTTTTCACAGCAGGACGACCGGGGGGGGCCT